CCCGCCCCTTTCATAACCAGCAGCTTGAAAAACCAGAAATTGAAACTGCATGACTGATTTCTGGTCAAAATAATGAAATCTGAATTGTATCTCTGGCCCTGAATGGAGAGGTGACATTTTGAGCTGTCTAGAAAGCTGTAAGATTACTATCTGGCCTAGCCTGAGGCTTTCTGATAAAGAACAGGGTATAGTACAAGAGGGCCTGTGAGTCACAGGACAGGAACAACCCCCCACCCCAAGAAAAGCTGTTCTAGAGGCTTTGGAAAGAATGTGAAACCCACCAAAAATACAGGTTAGCACAATAATTGCTTTTGGCCTTTGGCTGTCTCACCCACAGAGAGTGTGCCTACATAATATCTTAGTTACCATTCTGTTGCTATGATAAAATGCCCTGACAAAAGGAACTTCCAGGAGGAAAGGTTTGTTTTGGCTCACAGTGTGATCCATCATGACAGGAAAGTCAAGGTGGCAGGAGCCTGAAGTAGCTGGTTATTTTGCTTATACAGTCAGGAAGGAGACAGCAGTGAATGCTGGCCTTCAGCTGGATTTCTCCTTTTTATTGGGCCCAGGACCCACCCCAGAAAATAGTCCTGCCCATGTTTAAGGTGAATCTTCCTAATTTAGATAATCTCCAAACAGGCATACCCCGAGGCTGCTTTCCTAGGTGATTCTAGGTTCCATCAAACTGACAATATAAATCATCGTAAGTATATTCTTCATGCGTTAAAAAGGTATTTAATGTTGTGGTAGCTCAGTGATGTGCATGCTTCAGTTTGTTGTCTGCATTACCTGGTCTCTGCCCCTCCACAAGTGCCAGTTTATTTGGCTCCTGTGCTGATGGAGTGTCAGATGATATGAATTGAGAAAGTCATGCGAATGTAAGAAGGAACCTAGTAAGCCTCAGTCACTTCAGAAGTACTAGTAATCACCCTTCTTTGCTGCTTAACAGATAACTGCCTTGTTGAAAGTTTTGTCCTTAATCTCTTAGGAAGCAGCAGCTTTTTTTTGATTTTTATTGTGTTTGTTTTTGATACAGGGACTCCCTGTAGCCCCAGCTGGCCTAGAATTCACTATGTAGACCAAGCTGGCTTCACAGAAATCTGCCTACCTGCCTCTTGAGTGCTGGGATTAAAGGCTCTGCCACCACTCCTGGCTATGAAGCAGGTTTTGAGGAAACCAACTGTCCAGATCCTAACTCGCCAGCCCTGTTATTAGTTGCAGGGTGTGGTTGTTGGCAATAAAAGTCCGGGAGCAGGTGATCAGCTTGTTCTTGTTCTCATCAGCTCTTGTTCCCAACCAGATGTTCACGCTTTCATACTGACATCAGACACAGGTAGACTTTGCTTTCCTCCAGGCCTTCTCATGGCTGCTTCTGGTTGCCCACTATCTCAGACTGAGGCCTCCTCCTGAGAAACAAGCACATGTAACTCCCACACCATTGTAAAACTCCTCAGACTCCCAAGGAGTTTCTTATTTTACTGCTGTTCATTTCTCAACTGTCTAAATTTTCTTATATTAAAGTAAAGCTACCCTAATAACTTCATTTTAATTTTAATTCTCTTTAAAACCTAATCTTTAAATATGGTCACATTCTGAAGTACTGTGGGACTAGGTCTTAAACCCATGAATATTTGGGCGTAGAAATCAGCTCGTAACATTACATTCTATTTTGTAGTTATTCTATCTGAATTAGTTTATTTGTCATGCTTTGATGTCCTCCTTCACCAGTTGGGTTCCGAGGCCTATATTCATAATTAAATCTCTTGACAATACCCTAAACTTCATTCTTGTGAAAAGTCTTCAATGACAATAAATCTGCCTTCTGTATCCATGGTTGCTCTGAATTCTGAGATGTTCCCTAGAGACCACTCAGTAATCAAGATCAGTGTCATGATGAATTACTAGTCACCAGTTCCCTTGGCATCCTTATTTCTCTCCTCTTCCTGTCCCTCTCTCTTCAACTTCTGCAACAGACTTCCTCTACTCTTACCTCCAAACTTCAGTCTCCTTCCCTGTCTTAGTTTCTTTTTTGTGGCTATGATTAAAATACTCTGAAAAGCCAATTTAATGGAGAGGGTTTCTTTTAGCCCATAGCTCAAGGTTACAGTACATCATGGCCCAGAAGTCAAGGTCGCAGGAGCTTGAAGCAGCTGATCACATCTCTCCCTCTCCATGTTGTTAAATCCAGTAGACTCTTGTCAGAATTCCTTCTACTTAATCTTGAATAGTATCCAACATTTTGGGCTACACTTTAAGCTACTAAGACACTCTCTTTGGTCCTCATTACAGTACAATTACCCGGCTTCCTTTCTCTCTGGCCATTTCTTCTCAAACTCTCTGGTCCATCCCTCCTCTTACAGTTAATCATTTAATGCACGAATTCTTTCAGGGATGAATCATAGACCCTCTTTTTACTTTTGTGTTCTTTTCCCAGTACAGATTCCATCCATTACACTTCTTTCTTTACCATTCAAGTGTCAATTACTCCAATGTTTTTGTTCCTTATTCTGAGAAATTTAGTCTGAATGCCAAGACTTGGATGCACATCACTTGTTGACTGCAAGGGAAGATCTCAACGTATCCTTTCTTGAAATGAAGCCATCTTTCCACCTGAATCTGACACTTCTCTTGTGTTTCTGTTTCAGTAAATGGCTTTACTATCCACACAGTTGATCACACTAAAAAATGTGGGAATCACGCCTGGCTTTTATCTGTAAAACCCACAAAGTTCAGAATGATCTAGGCTGTACTTATTCTGATTTACATTCAGTACCTTCTTTCTCTTCCCTCTCTCTTTCAGAAGCTCAGTATGCTTCTGACTCCCATTTCAGGACTTTTTCTTAGCTTTTTAATTTTTTCCATCTTTCAGATTGAAGGTTAAACTCTACTTCCTCCACAATTTTCCCTCTAAGCCTGTATATTCTGTTAGATTCTATCCTTTATGATATCTGCCTCTTTCCTTAGCGTGTTTCCTTTTTTGAATACTAGTTTGGCTGTGTAAGAAAAAGACTGTGAATATGAATGGTTTAAGTGAAATGGAAATTTATTTCTCTCTGCAGTTAAAGTTTGGCTGTGTCATGCAAAGATGTCAAGAGCCCAATTCCTCCTTTCTTATTTCACCTCCATTACTAGTGTATTGTCCTCATCTCCATATTCTGGACAGCTTAGCATTCCATGTACATACCAGCAGGTGACAAGTGGGAAACAAGGAAAGACTTAATATGTTTTTCTCTTTAAGTTCATACCCAGAAGTCATGCATATTATTTCAGATTATATTCCAGCTGTTGGAACTTAGTCATGTGACTATATATTAATTAAAGAAAATGCTAAGGGGAATATTGTCTTGGTTAACTATGAAGAGTTTCAGGTCTATTGCTTTTAAAGAAGGAGAAACGAGATATTAATACAACTGGTAATTTCTGCTCTAATCCTGAATTAACCCACATATCCATGCACACCATTCTTCTACACATAAGACACAATCACCCCTTCCCCAGTGAAAACAACTCCAGGTCCCTCTCACCTGATTCATCTGACTCATTGTCCACTGCCTCTAGGTAAGCAAGGTTCAGTTTCCTCCAACAGGCTCAGAAGAGTCCAACCAAAAGAAAATTTACTGCCTCTGACATACCTGATATGAAGTAGCAAAAGTACAAATAAGATATCAGCAGTCAGAAGGCCTGTAAGGAAGACAAGGGAGAAGCATAGTCACTGCTCCATAGAAATGACTAATTTTTACTGCACAGGAAGTAAAAGAACTATGGGCTCAAATTTGTTAATTCACATAGCCAAGGCTGTTTGTTGTTAAAAGAGGAGGAGAAAGGAGATTATTCTTTTTTTTTTTTTCATTTTTAAGAAAATGAAACCCAGGCTGGCTTGACTTGGTATGTAGCTGAGGTTGGCCTTGAATTTTTGATCCTCCTGTCTCTACATTCCAAGTGTTGACATTATACATATGCATCACCATACCCAGTTTTATGTGATGCTGTGCATCGAACCCACAGCCTTGTGCGTGCTAGGCAAGTGCTCTACCAACTGAGCTACATACCCAGCCCCAAATTACTTTTCTTATTTCTGTGACAAAATACATGGCAAAGGCAATATAAGTGAGGCTCAGTTTATTTTGGCTCATAGTTTGAGTATTGTCCAGCATGGTGGGGAAGGTGTGGCAGCAAGAATGACTCCAGCTGTGTAGGAGTGTGAAGCA